TTATGTTTCCGTTTTGATTTGCTCTTTGACTACCCCCATGATTGGTGGTGTGCATTAAAGTCCCCTAAGAGAAACATGGCTCCCTCCAGGTCATTGTTGCGGATTTCAAGTATTTCCCTATTGAATCTGTAAGTTGGGCTTGCGTGTACATTAGTTATATTGATATTACCCGTTTTGATAGTAATGTAGCTAACGTCTTTCCTGTTTGGGTTGGGGAATGATTATAGAGTATGGGATATTACTTTTTATCAGTGTACTTATACCTGCATAACCGTCATTTCGGTAAATTTTAATAATTTCAAAGTTAGAGTTGTGTGCTGTCTGACCTGGTTGGAGCCATGACTTCTCATGTTCCATTGAAGGATTTTAATTTTATTGATTATAGGGTTAAAAGTTTGGTTTGGGAACATCTTGTACAAGGTTGTGTCGTTTAGGTTTGTATTATTGATAGCTTTGATTAATTTTGATTTATTTTTTTCTGAAATTTTCTGGAAAAGGTTAATTGAGGTTTCAAAAAGGTCAAATTCTGTTGGGCAGTCATTTCCCGCAATAGACATGTTAGTTTTGTGTTCTTTCTGTGGGTCGGGTGGGTTTGGGCTGGAGTTTGCATACAACAAAGTTGTTTTTTTTTTGTTATGTTGATGCTTATTCAAGGTGGTGCGTGACATTTAGGACACCCTGTATACAGTTGATTTTTCAGATAAAATAATCATTTATAGAATGGTTAGTCAAGTTTTTTTTAATATGAAATTTTTTTAAAATAACAGCATTTAGAAATGCTTAAAAACTTAAATGATTTAATGATTGTGCATATACATAAAATGTATGTATATTAGGGTGGTCCTTAACTAGGTTATTTTCAAATTTCTTTGCTCCCAGGGGCTCAAATACTTCCAAATTGATAAAAAAAATTCCCTGAAAATTTGAGCTCTTAATATTAACTCTAAGATAGTGCGCATTCCAATCTAAGTTTCCTATGGAAATAACATAGGAAAAATTACTTTTGTTGTTTATAATTCTATAACTTGAGAACGAATAAATTAAAAATTATAAATCATAAATATTTTTATAGAGAATTTAACGCTCTACAAAAAAGGTCTCTTATAATTTTTCCATTAGTCTATTGGTTTAAAAGTTATTCAACGCCAAAGTTTAATTTTCATATTATTATTAATATTATCAAGGCTTTTTTATGAGGCGCCGTTTGTGTCAAAATTGAAAGTGCTAAATAAACTTATTTTGTTTTATAAATAATTAATTATATGCTTTACCAAATAATTTTTTTATAAAATTATTTTTTTATAAAATATTTTTTTTTTAATTTTTTTTTTGTAAAAAATTTTATAAAATTATTTTTTTATAAAATAATTTTGTAAAAAAATTTTTTTTTATAAAATAATTCTTTTTTATAAAATTATTTTTTTTGATTTTTAGTTTTGTTTTAAGAGAATTGATTTATTTATGTTAATTTGTTTTCAAGAGAATTATTTTATTTATTTATTTTAGTTTTTAACAAGTGCTTTCTTATAAAAAACGTTTAAACATAAAGAATTCTTGTTAAAAACTAAAAATCAAAATAAATGTGGATAAAAAAATTAATGAATTAATGAATAAAAATAATAAATTATTATTTTCAATCGTTTCCCCAAATTGCGTCAAACAAAAGCCCAGTCCGTCATAAAATTGTATCTGGGGAGGGGCGTTCGGGTTTTCGGATTTTTACAAAATTATTTTATAAAAAAATAATTTTATAAAATTTTTTACAAAAAAAATATTTAAAAAAAAATATTTTATAAAAAAATAATTTTATAAAAAAATTATTTGGTAAAGCATATAATTAATTATTTATAAAACAAAATAAGTTTATTTAGCACTTTTAATTTTGACACAAACGGCGCCTCATAAAAAAGCCTTGATAATATTAATAATAATATGAAAATTAAACTTTTACGTTGAATAACTTTTAAACAGATAGACTAATGGAAAAATTATAGGAGACCTTTTTTGTAGAGCGTTAAATTCTCTATAAAAATATATATGATTTATAATTTTTAATTCATTAGTTCCCAAGTTATAAAATTTTAAACAACAAAAGTAATTTTTCCTATGTTATTTCCATAGGAAACTTAGATTGGAATGCGCACTATCTTAGAGTTAATATTAAGAGCTCAAATTTTAAGGGAATTTTTTTTTATTAATTTGGAAGCATTTGAGCCTCTGGGAGCAAAGAAATTTGAAAATAACCTTATTAAGGACCACCCTAATGTATATGTCATAATACTTTGTCTGAACAGCATTTAGAAATGCTTAAAAACTTAATTGATTAATTTGGATCATTGCACAATCATGATTGTGCATATACATTCAATGTATGTATATGTCATAATACTATGTCTACTAAGTTAATATTCTAAAAAAATTAAGGGTTTTTATAAAGGGATATTCTTTATACTGGAAGTTTTATTTTTTAGATTGGTTAATTTAAAATAATTTTTTAAAAATTTATTTTTTATTTATTTATTAAATTGAAACTACAAATCAACTTGTAATAGCTGTTAACGTAGAGTAATCATTACAATAAAGAAAAAATAGATTTATAAATTGAATAACAGTATAATAATTATAAATTGTCCTTGATGTACTTTTTCAATGTTTTTATAAATTTTTCATATTTATACAAGGATTTAATGGAGTTTGGTAGATCATTGAAGATTTTAACACCCTGTTGTATTGTTGATCCAGAAGCCTTTTTGGTCCTAACTCTGACTGTTCTGAGGTTTTGTGCTCCTCTAGTTTCATAGTTGTGAAAATCCGAGTTTATGTTCAAGCTTGCACTTGTTTTAATGTCTTTGTTTTTTATCTTATATACTAATTTGCACAATTCGAAACTAATTAACTGTTTAATATTTATTACCGGAATTATTTTATAAAGGTCTTTAGTTGGTGTATCATACGGTAGATTAAAAATTGCTTTTAGCGCTTTATTTTGCAGTCTTTGCATTCGGTTTAGATTTCGTTGGGATGTATTTGACCATATTGCTATGAGATAACTTAAGACTGATTTAATATATGAGTTATATATAAGGAATCTGCAACTCTCCGTCAAATATTCATTTACACGTCTAAGCGCACCAACTAAGCCACTAAGTTTGTTATATATTTCACCAATATGTTCATTGAAAGTCAAGTTTTGATCAATTGTTAATCCAAGGTATTTATAGAAAGTCACTTTTTGAATGGGTACATTGTTTATTTTAAGATTCACTTTTGGGTTGTTTTTATTCATTAAGCTAAACTGCATATATACAGTTTTTATTTCATTCACTATTAATCCATTTGAATTTATAAAAATCTTAAAGTTATTAAAACATACATCAACATTTTTATCAAAAAATAACTAAATTACATTTTTGTATATTTGAGTATTTTAAAATAGTAAAAGACACAAATTGTTTATTATAATAATATTATGTTGCCTTGAATCCGTATATTTTGTCTTACTGGTACAACCCACCCTTGTATTTCAAAATGCAGACTATAAATTTTGAGGTTTTCAGTCAGGCTCATAATAATATTTTCTATAAGTTTTATAATGTTCTTACTCACACCGTTTGTATGTATTTTTGCTTTTTAATAATTTTATATTAAAAAAAATCGTTTTATAGTACCTATAGGTATACCTATACATTGTAAACCACAAAATCCACAAACAAGCCGAAGGCGAGTGAAGTAATTTTTCCGAATGCAAATGGCCATTTCTCAAGAGTTGAACACTATACAATTTCTAATTTTATTACGGAATTTAGTACAATTTTGTGCAATTACCTTAAACACAGAATTGATGACAAATGTCATTAATTTAAAAAAACAATAAACCACCGTATAATCGTCATACTAATAATAAATACTACCGTGGAGAAAAATAAAATCTCTTTGTCTCATTTGGCAGTAACCCGTGAAGAAAGAAGTCAATTTTCTTCACAGTTCAAGACTGAGCCACTTTTTTAATTGAAAACGTATAAGAAATGTACAAATTTTTGAATGTAATTAGGAAAAAATTCTCGTCAGAGGTGCGTCTTCTTCAGTACGTTTAGATTGTAACAAATTACGAAAAGGCAATATTTTTTAAACTAGAAATATATATATATATATTAGGGTGGCCCAAAAAAAAAAAGAATATATTTTTTTTCTCGTCTCTTGCAAAAATATGTTAGTTTATAATGCTGTATAATGCTGTAAGAGCCCTGTCAAAATATCAGCTCGATTAAAAAAAAATTAGGGGTCGCTCAAGATTTTTTTAAATTTTCAAAATCGTCAAAAATTGAATTTTTGTTTTATTTTAATTTTTTTTCTCGTCTCGATATTATTTTTTTGGTTGAAAATAATAAAAATTCTGTAAATTTCAAATCAATTTTTGATTTGAGGTCGCTAAAAGTTCGTTGATATTTATTTTCAGAGGTCGCTCGAAAACATTCAAAATACTCTACTTTGAAAGTTAAAAAAATCTTGAGCGACCTTTAGAAATGAAAATATCCATTTAAAATTTTCAGAATCATTATTATTTTTAAATTAAAAAATACTATCGGAACGAGAAAAAAAATTAAAATAAAAAAAATCCAATTTTTGACGATTTTGGAAATTTTTAAAAACCTTGAGCGACCCCAAATTTTTTTTTAATGGAGCTGATCTTTTGACAGGGCTCTTAAAACATAACAAACCAACATATTTTCACAAGAGACACCCTAATATATATACATATATATATATATATATATATATATATATATATATATATATATATATATATATATATATATATATAATTTCTGATGAAAATAGAAAACTTTCTAGTTAAATATTCCTTATAAATGCCACCCTAATATATATACATATATATATATATATATATATATAATTTCTGATGAAAATAGAAAACTTTCTAGTTAAATATTCCTTATAAATGTCCTGGAAAGTTTCAAAAAACCATAAATTTTTTTTAGGGAATTCGTCCATATTTGCAAACATGGTATTTTGCAATATACTGTTGTAAGACCTTTAACAACAGCTATATCATTGTAAGTTATCCATTCTATTAAAAAACCCAGATAGCAAAATGAATTCACTATGAATTCACTACGAATTCACGCGTGAAAATTAAATTCACGCGTGAATTCATATAACGCGACAGATGAGTCCTCAATTGATGCCCAATTTGCCATCACCCGTGAACTTTTTATTTTTTGCGCATGCGCTTTTAGAATATGGATTTCATTTTTCAAAATAATTTAATCTGTCGAAATATTTATTTTAACATCTTAAAAAAAATACACAAAAACTTGGTTTAAAAGGCCATAATTGAGAAGCAATCAGACTAAACCAGATAAATCCATTTCGACTTTTTGAATGGTTCCTATTTCTTTTGTTTAGATAAATCCATTGGAAATATCTATTTCAAGCTAAACTTGTTATCATAATATGATATGATCATAATATTAATATTATATAATAATTATTATATTATATATTAATATTAATATTAGTATATAATATATAAGTATATTATTATAATAAGTTTATCTTGAAATTCACTTTTCCAATTGATTTATCCGACTAAAAGAAATATGAATCATTCAAGAAGTCAAAATGGATTTATCTGGTTTTGGTTGATTGCTCCTCAATTATAGGTTATACATTACAATTATAACCTTAAGGTTAACTAATTAATTAATTAATATATAATATACATATATTAATTATTAATGTACCTATAACATATAATTGTGACCTCTTAAACCAATATATATTATGTAATTATATATATTACTATAATATATATAATTATAATAATATATTATAATATATAATTATATAATATAACTACTTATAACTTAATATATTATATAATTGCGCAATGGAGCTGTGCGAATTTTAAAAATGTTACTAAAATAATAATTCCAAAATTCGCGCGTCAGGTAATGTTTTGATATTAGAATATTAATATTCTATTTATATTTAAACGTGCAGTTTTTAATCATGCAATCCATGTATTTTAAAATAAAATCGATTAAATCACACGAGACTATAATATGAATTCATAATCTACTCACGTGTGAATTACGAGTTCAAGACTTCACGTGTGAAATCATATAGCACACATTATTCACTCACGCGTGATTTCGTATTCACGTTTGCTATCTGGGAATCGCCATAAACCCAACATATTTTTTTAGTCTTTGCAAAACTTTAGATGTATATGGAGATGGACAATTTAAAGGCACTGTGGCCTTTCCGTATTTATTAGCTGTAAATAATATGTCACAATTTGTGGCAATGTATTGTTTGGTTATGTTTTACAAGGCCAATATTGCTGAACTGAGGCCTATGAGGCCATTACCCAAATTTTTGTGCATAAAGGCTGTAGTATTCTTTTCTTTTTTGTAAGTTAAATATAATTTATTTTGTTTTTTTTTACTATTTTACTTTTTTAGCCAAGGCGTAATGATTGACTTATTGGTTTATTCTGGGGCTATATCAACAAGTGGTAAAACTGATGATGGATTAGGTTTATCAACTAGGTTGCAGGTATTTTTTTTGTTAATGATAAATATTATTTAAATTAATTGTTTGTATTTTTCAAGGATTTCTTAATTTGCATTGAGATGTGTTTGGCAGCTATAGCACATCATTATAGTTTCTCATATGAACCATATGCTAGACCTGATTATAGGACACAAAATTGTTGTGGGGCCTTTTTAGCCATGTGGGATATAAGTGACGTCCAAAGAGATATCTCTGAACATTTGGGGATTGTTGGTAAGTTATAACTGATAACTTATCAGTTAACCCTCTTAACAAAGTCTCTTTTAAATCAATTTACATATGCGCACCATACCAAGTTCAAGATTTTGAGTATAAAAAAGCCACGTGTGATTATGCTGAAATCGTTTGTACAGATGAGATAATTTTAATTTTACGTTGATCGTTTATTTATATAGAAGGAGTAAAAAGCAAAAGGGTACAAGTGCAAAAAAGGGAAGTGGAGTTATTAACTTTAAAGTTAATTTTTAAATTATAATAGTTTTCATATGCCATTTTTTTTTAAATCTTAAAAAAAAGCATTTTTAACACTTTTTAAAATTGTCATTTCATATTTTGTGCTGCCCACAATCCACACAACAAATTGTGTGGATTGTGGTGCTGCCAACTTAAGAAACACAAAAATATGACAATTTTAAACATTAATTTTGCCATTTAAGCAACAAATTACTTATTTCCTTTTTATGTTGTGTTTACTAAACACTGTTTAGTTTTTAATGATACTTTAATTTGTAATAAACAATGCTATGTTTTAAAAAAAAGTGTTTTTAAAATATTTTTTGTTATTTGAAAAAAATGTTTTTTTTACATCACTAATTATTTTTAAATTTATAGGTAGTTCGATAAGTCGTCGATTTAGAGGCCGAAGCATGTACACAATACCGAGGGGTAATGACGAATATGCCGGTTTGGTTTCACCGAGGACCACTATAAGTGAGCCAGATACAATTTACCAAGACGAGTGTGACGAACTGATTGTCAATTATGGGACTGTAGGCCCAAGGCAATCAAACAATAAAACGCAGAACCCCAGAATTGAAGAATAATCTGAAATTATTTTTGTGTATATTTAGGTAGTGTAACTGAAACATATGTTATTCCAAAAAGATTTAGAATTGTCTAGTCAATAGATTGTTATATTTTTACATCAAATAAGAAGACAAAAATTTCATATTGTTAATTAAAAAAATAACCAAAAAAATTATTGAAAATCATCTTAAAACTGAATTAAATTTTGACTTATTTTTGGGTATTTATTGGGCACTTTTTACCATAATTTAATATACAAGGTGTACCAGAAGTCGCGCACTACCTTAAAGGTGTATGATCTACAGGCCCACAGGAATCCCACAAAATTGTTAAAAAAAATTATCTTTGCTATTTAAAAAGAAACGGGAGATATTTTTTAAATTGCAACATTGCATACTTACAAGACTACTTAGTAGTACCAAAGATCATACACTATTAAGGTGGAGCGCGACTCCTGGGACACCCTGTATATCATGCATGTTTTCTATTTTTATATCATATTTTATTTAAGTTTATATAATCACTTCATATAATTAGTCCATAAGTTACCAAAAAAATAAATAAAAGCTGTATATTTTGTAATAGGTTTTTATTTAATAAAATACATTTTGATGCTTAATATTGCTAATAACAAAAACTATTAGAAGTAAACATTAACATATGGTCAATCTGTACAAAAAAAATAGAATTTTGAAAAAATTAGTTTTTAAATATGTATAAGCTGTATAAAGTGTACTTAAGTGGTAGTCTAAAAATGGAACTAAGTCTGCATTATTTAACCATGTAGAGTTAGTTGCCTCGGTAAATTAATAATACCGTTAAAAATCAATAAAAACGTGCTTAGTTGGTTCTAAGTTGATAATCACCGTTTTGCGTAATATACCTCACCCAAGGCAGAGCCTGGTATCCAGATTTTTCAATAATCTTTAAATATCTCACTTGAATGCCTGAAGTAGTAAAATATGGTATCTCAAATTTGACTTGAATGGGTGGTTTTCCTTCTGTATCTTCACATTCAACACTAGGCAGTCCAAAGTGGGCCCTCATCAAGTATTCCTTACCACCTGGGAATGATTTAATGGACCAAGTTATGGCATTTTGTTCAGGGGCATACTTAACACTTCCAATAGTTGTCTTGAATTTAGGTGAATCTGCATCTTGTGGCACAGGAATGATAATTTCTACATTATTTGCAGTTGATCTCCTTTTAAACTGAGATTTTGCCTTAATCATATACTCAACTCTGCTGTGAGCATGTCGTTCAATAACCGACTCAATCCAGATTAAAGGTTTAACATGGGTATTTAACCTGTAGCTCATCAACTCAAACTCACCATCTGGAGGGATGAAGGAGATGGTCCTATCAATTTCAAATCTAGATAATCTTACACATTGATGGAATTTTGTGTCTTCCAATTCTACAGACTTAGATTTACCCCTGCCAGTTGATTCAAAAAGAACCTTATCATTTAATCCTAATCTTAATTCAGGCATACCTGACAAGTATACCCTCATTTTAATAGCCCCAACAATCTCACTTCTAAGTACATTGCCATTTGAATTTGCCAGTAAATTTACTGATTCAATCACATCCAAAAAGACCTCATTTTTGCGGTATTTAATTCCCTCTGATCTCCAAGACACAGCATTAGTAACTGCTACAGGTATACGAGGCTGTATTTCCAACTTATGACCTTCCTGTGTTATATATTCTTGTAAAATCTTACTATCAGTGGTTTGAGGGTAACCAAAATCAATTAGCTCATCTAATAATTCGTAAATCACAACAAAATTATCTCTAATACTTTCCTCCTCTAACTCTTTAAAATACTCAGTCATAACATGGACAATTTTGTGTAAAAACACAAAAACCAATGCAATATTGGCATTTTTCTTGGTGGTACTCACAATAAATAGATTGTTTGTTTTAATATAGGCAAATGTACAGTTAGCAGTTTGTAAAATTGGTGTTAATAGGCCTTCTTCCTCTTTTTCCAAAAGCAGTGGCATAAATTTTTCAATAACCCCCAAATCCATGTCACCCCTATAATTTCTAGATATCAACACCTTTCCTTTAATGTCTAATATGTAAATTGCAGAAGACGACATGATTTACTGCTTTATAACACCTTTTTGTAAAGATACTGGTGTTAAAAATTAATAATTCAATTCTTTGTACATGGAATGCTTCTGTTACCTAAAATACAAAAAATTAAATAATGAGGATTTATCAGGTATATTTAGGCTTACATGGCTTTTTATTACACGAAAATATCGTAATTATTAAAATAAACACGTCGGTATTTTATTGGGAAATTTATGTTGGTATCGCCAACACACCTATGTTGACATCTGTCAAATCTAGTCACTAGATTCTAGTGTCAACTGAAGCGCCGTCTATATACCTTAAAAGAAACAAATTACAGGTTTTGGTACCGATCAAGCTGTCAAAGAAACTGCAAAAATTTACCGACCTCTTTCGTATCGTCGGTAGTGCTTGAAGGTGGGTTTTCGTGTTTTTCTAAAATAAATCTTTAATCATCGGCCAAATAAAATATAATTTGTTGCAATTATGAGTGGAAAATTATCATTGGTGTGCCTGGCAAGCGATTTACATTTGTATTTTTTTAGTTCTTTAAAGTTTGGAAGAATTTTGACTTGTGTGTTGTGAAGTTAGGTTATGCACTAAACAGTATTTATTTATTTCAGCATAAAAATGGCCAAGACAAAGTCTGAAAAGAAGACCAGGTCAGCAATGACCGAAGTCGTCACCCGCGAATTCACAATCAACCTTCACAAAAGGTTACACGGTATTGGATTCAAGAAAAGGGCCCCTCGCGCTATCAAGGAAATCCGCAAGTTTGCCGAAAAGCAGATGGGAACCCCTGATGTAAGGATCGACACCAGACTTAACAAGAGTCTGTGGTCCAAAGGAATCAGGTCAGTAAAAACTAAAACTTGTTTATGTTTGTGAACTAAAGTTTTTACTTTGACAATTTTTATGTCGAGTTATGGTTTATGGGTCAATTAAATGTTAATTTAATGAAAATGTGTTGCATAAAAGCTTCCATTATATTAAGCTCAAGTTAACTTTTTAATGTTAAATTTAACTTAAATGTTACACGGTGGATTTTTAGGGTCAATTTTCGGATCATCAGGCAACCACGGTTTTTTTTCATAAATCGATTATATGCCTATTATAGACAAAAATTACCAAAAATTAAAAAAATATCTCGGTTTTTTTGTTATTTATTAAGAAAAATATAATATAAATGGATCTAATTTTACTTTTTTGGTTATCAAACTGGCTATTTATACGTCCGACGTATACAAAATTTGGTATACGTCTTGTGCTTTCATTGGCTACTGGTATTATTTTCAAAACAAAAGGAATTATTCAATAAGCTCGGTAGCTCCGATGGAAGAGCGCCCGCTTTGTATGCGAGAGATACCAGGTTCGATTCTTGGCGCCAACAGCTTTTTTTTTATTTTTATTTTTATAGCGAAAAGGATTATTATTTAATTTTACATTAATATTCATTTTGCTACAGTTATATAATATAATATGTAATTATATGAATATTCCTTCGTTGAAAAATTGGGCGGGGGGGGCCAATGGGGCGGGGTCGGTTGGGTTGGGTTGTTGAGTTTGGGTTGGTTTGGGTTGGTTTCGCTCACTTTTGCCCATTTAAGTTGATTGACAGTGAGCGAAACCAACCCAAACTCAACAATGAAAGTTCAAGACGTATACCAAATTTTGTATACGTCGGACGTATAAATAGCCACTTCGTTTGGTTATTTTGCAAAAAGTATCAATTTTATCAAAATTCTGTTTTAACAAAGATATAGAATAAAAAATTTTCTACAAAAAAGGTTATTACCATATTTGCTTTCCTGTAATTTTTAAACGTAGTTTTTCTAAACAAATGATTTGCTTAATTTTTTTTATTTAACTTGGGAAAAAAATTTGTTGGTCGGCCTTTCTGCAGATAAGTTTTTAAAAATTGATCTCTTTTTCGATTGTAATACTTTATGACTAAGAAAAAATCGATAAAAGAAGCATAGAATTAAAAAAAATTCAGTAAAAAGAAATAAATAATCTACTTTTTAAACAATGTGATACTATATTTAATTTTTAATCATAGTTACCCAAGCAAAATGTAAACGTCAAAACCTGAAAAACAAGTTTTTCAAGATTTTAAGTGGTAAGAACCAAAAAATTAAGTTAAATTACTTATTAAAATAAGAAAAGTTATTTTTAAAATTGTATTATACATTACGTTTTTTCGACTTAATTAAATATTATTAATTCTAAGTATTATTATATACAGGGTGGTCCAAGATTAATCTGAAAAATTTTAATGATCGATAGAGCGTGAATAAACAATACAAACAATCCCAAAAACATTTTTTTTAAATGCATACTAACGGAGATATAGTCCTTTAAAATAATTTTTAAACCATTAAACCGATTCTTCTCAAATTTTGTGTATACACCTATAGGTTAAGCTTCCGTCGACGCCACTGGATTTTATTAGAAAATCATCAGAAAATCATTTATTTTTATCCTTTTTCAATGTAAAAGCAAAACTTTTATGTTAATTTTTTATCAGATCAGTGTTTTCGGAGATATTTCAGTTTAAAATTTCAAAAACACTGTGTACACGGAACTTTTGTTATTATTTTAGTAATAAAAATGATTTTTTTTCTGAATGATTGTATTGGACCAATAAAAATTTACCAATGAAATAATGGAGTAATCGCTTTCAATAGGGTGATTATTCGATGTTGCTAAACTGATAAAGTGGCATAATTATTACCAAGTTACCGATTTAAAATAAATTATGATAAAATTCCGTGTACTCGGTGATTTTGAAATTTTAAAGTCAAATATCTCCGAAACCACTGATCTTATGAAAATTTAACACACAAGTTTTGCTTCTAAATTGAATAAGAAATCTGATGATTTTCCAATAAAATCCAGTGGTGTCGAAATATGGGGGTAAAAAGGGAAAACCCCCCCCAAAATCTCCGCCGCTGGGCCTTTTGTAAAAAAATTTGCCTATAGGCAAATTATACAAAATATACACAAAATTTAAGCAGAATCGGTTTAATGGTTTAAAAGTTATTTTAAAAAAACGTTTTTTGCCTTTGAAGGGCTATTAGTGTGTTGGTGAGTATTTTTGAAAAATGTTTTTGGGTTTGTTTTTATTGTTTTTTCAGACTCTATCGATTATTACAATTTTTCAGATTAATCCTGGACCACCCTGTATAATTGAAGAGAGGAAATAAGAAAAGGCTTTTTTACATAAAAAGGTTCTCTGTGCCATGCTTTGCAACCTATGAAAAATTCTAATTGCCAAAATTACAATTTACAGCCGCGGCTAGCCGGTCGAGTATGTCGAGGGATGTATTTAGTTTTTTTCGATTATCTCAAAACTTTATTTTTGGCACTTAGGCCCTTTCTAATTTCCACTCTACAATAAAAAATATATAAAAAATTACTTTATAATGTAGAAACTTTATCCACTTTTATGTGTCAATGTAATTCCAATTACAAGAACCAGCAAATGCGATTTTTAAAAAATTTATAACTTTGTATGGATATTACTCCTAAAGTATATATATTACAAAGAAAATGCTTATAACCTTTTTTGTAGAAAATTTAATGTTCTATATCACTGTTAAAACAGAATTTCGATAAAATTGATACCTTATGCAAAATAACCAATAAAGTAAAATTAGACCCATTTATATTATATTTTTCTTAATAAAAAACAAAAAAACCGAGAGATTTTTTTTATTTTTGGTATTTTTTGTCTATAACAGGCATATAATCGATTTATGAAAAAAAACCGTGGTTGCCTGATGATCCGAAAATTGACCCTAAAAATCCACCGTGGTTAATTTGTGCTGCATAAATCCACCATTAGTTTTAAAAATTCTTCTTAAAAAGTTTTGGCCTTTAGCGGATTCCAGCTATTTGGCCAGCTCATTAGTTTTAAAAATTAAGTCTAATTGTTATTTTTGTATTTATTGTGAGGTTTATGATGCTGTTAAATATGTTACCTAGTATCAAAACATTTGCATGCATGCTTAATCCAAATGACAATTTTTACTCTCCAATAGCTGGCCATACACAGACGTTATTGCGCGCGGTTTATCGTGTTATCTGCATATGGAAAATCATGTACGTGAGTGAGTATCGCCGCGCGCAATGATATAACGGGAAGGGATTTCAGACGTGCTTTCCTCTGGAGTGTGGAGTGTCCACACTCCACATTCCGCGTGCTTGGCAAAATTTCACGTTGAAAATTTGTACATGAGCACATGCAGTTTCAAACAACTCGATAAATGACACTTTTTGCCCACTCACATACGATTTTTCCTTTGAAACTGATATACCACGGGCAATCACTTGCTAAATCATTTGAATACTTTATCAAGTGTATGGAACATGACGCTTTTTTTGCCATGCCGTTCTTTCGTGCTTACTAACCGCTACATCCCAACACGCCACGATAAACCGCGCGAAATAACGCCTGTGTATGGCCAGCTAATACCTCTCCAATTTTTGTTGCTGTTTTTCAATACCCATATGATAAAGACATGTATAACAAAATAATCTTAAATATTAAAACGTTAATGACACTAGGTTAATTTTCACCTTTTGAAATATCACAGCTTGGACATGTAAACTTAATTTTTGGTTGTAGATCCTCAGTTTAGCTGTATCAGGTAAAATTTAAAAGATATTTAAGTTTTGAAGTTTAGAACAATCTAAATTTTTGATTGAAATGCTGTAAAATTATCATTTTATTTTTGTTATACTTATGTATATCCATAAATACTAGGGCTGTATAATTTAGCCAGTAAAGCCTGCTAAAAAAGTTAGCTAAGTTAATTAGCTAGCTAACTGATAAGCTTAGCTAATATTACTGGTTAACTAAATTAGCTTAGCTAATTAGCTGGCAGCATAAGCAGTTAATCTAGCTTAGCTAAGCTAATTAGCTGAGCTAAGCTAGATTAACCAATTAAGCTGCCACCTAATTAGCTAAGCTAATTTAGTTAACCGGTTAAATTAGCTAAGCTGATCAGCAGATCATAATTAACTTAGCTAACTTTTTTAGCTGGCTAAATTGTACAGCCCTAATAAATACTATAATGGTATCTATAGATGTACCTATGTGAAACACAAACAAAATGTGTAATATATAATGTGACCGCCTTAGTTTTCTTATACATATTTGCCCAATTATCGCACAAGGGCATATCTCATATTTAACAATTTTACAGTGCATTTTCAGGATTGCAATTTTTTAGCCAATTTAATTATTTTTTGGAAAACTAGGTATTACAGTAGATGTACTCAGAGACATATATATCTCTATATCTCTATCTCTATATTTCTGGATGTACTACCTATTAGTCCAATATAATTTAAATTTGCTAAAAACTTTAAATATTTAAAATGCTCTCTAAAATTGTTAAATTATTTAACAATTTTAGAGATCATTTTAACTTAAATATAAGATACACCCTTATGTAATAATTGGGATGATATGGAATACTATTTTAGGTACTATTAATTTTATAAAAAAAAGTTACTCTTTATAAAAAGTAAAATTACAGAGTGGTTGTAAAGTAGGAAAAGTTATATCTTAGTTTAAATCTATTGCCTCCTAAACATTCTTACAGTATTTATTAGTTTTTTAATCATGTTCACCTTTGTACAGTTTAATAAGAGTTTTTTGTTTGTTTTAGAAATGTTCCTTTCCGCGTAAGAGTACGTTTGTCTCGCAGGAGAAACGACGATGAAGATTCAGTGAACAAACTATACACTCTTGTGACATATGTGCCCGTAGCTACATTCAAAGGTCTCCAAACTGAAAATGTTGACGCAAACCAAGAATAAATGACCTTTAAATATATTTTATAAGTTATTTAGTTATTTTTTTAATTATCCTTAAATTATAATTTCAGCTATATACCAAAACCTTTTTGTGTATACAGGAAACATGTGCCAATGTTTATATTTTATAGCATTTTTTTGGGAGAGTTAACATCAAGTTTAATAAATTATTAATAATAGTTTGTTTAGAAAGCCATAAAATATTATTTATTAAGGGGTTATTTACCTTTAATCTGGAGAAAATTAAGGATTAGGGTTAACGTTAGTATCTACCTTTGAAGAGTGTCCATGTAATATATGAATTTGTTGGGTTCAACTGAATTAAAAAAAAACAACTAGGATATAGGTAGGTACTACAATGCCAACTTACACTGCAGGCACTATACCTCTATAGACTATAGAATTACCTTGCTGTTGCGAAACATTTTTTTACGTAAATAGCGATGATTTTCCCATGATTCGATCCCTTCGTTCGCGAGGTAGAGCTATTAATTCTGTGGGTAAAAGGCATAAGGGGATAAGTCAAAACAATCAATTTTTTAGTAGTGCCTTAAACGTGTTCGCATTAATTTAGGAAATACATTTATGGTTAGCGGGTTTATCCTTTTGCCAGCACATGTCATATGCTAGCAAAAGGGTATGCTCGCTAACCATAAATATATTTCCTGAATTAATACGAACACGTTTAAGTCTCTACCGAAAAATTGCTTTTTTTGACTTATCCCCTTATGCCTTTTACCCACAGAATTGTAATTAGGAACATCACTTTAAAATTATAGATTGATTGGTAAATTGTTTTTTTGAGAAATGGTGCTCACCGCAACTACTTTTCAAAAATATGATTTGATTGATATGTTTTTTAAGTTTTAAGCTGATATTAGGTAGCGCGGTATAAATTGCCGTAAGTTAAGTTAAAAACCCCTTCAGGGGTTACTTAGGTATATAAGGAGGCTCAATTTTGACCATTTTTAACGTCCCGAGATTTATGGACGGTCCCTTTGTTGGGTTAAATACAATGGAATAATTCCATTGGAATTTATATACATTTTAAGTTATGCACCTAACAATTAAAGTGTCCTTAAATGGAGTAACTTTAAAATGGCGTTACTGCAGCGTTACCAAATTCTGTCAAAAAGTTGCTTAATTTAGTATGAATTTATCTTAATATCACACCGTGAGTTCTACATGATATCACTGTGATGAAGCATGTGTATGCACTCAGGATATCACAGCGTGATAAAAAAAAATCACGTTGTGATATCATCATGACTTCACCAGGAAATCCCGATTGTTGTCCGGGTAATATATTATAATATATATATATATATATATAGGTACCTATGCTATACAGGGTGTCCGGGAAAAGTAGGTCAATCCGTTAACCATATATTCCTTAAGTTAAAATAATAAGACTTTCATAATACCATTTTTCAATTTAGAGCTTCATGTTCGATATACAGGGCGACAAAGTTTGAAATTTAAAACTGATTTTTTTAAATAATTCGAGTAATTGATAAGATATTAAGTTTAAATTCGGTACACTACTTCAACATAAATAGTTACATTTTTTGAGACCAACAAAACAATTGTCAAATAATCAAAATAGGGGGGTCCAGTACCCACTGACTCCCCCTATTTTTTAGTACATGCGCCAATGACTTCCAAACGGTATTTTTTCAGGTAATCATTTATTGTTCTCTTATAAAATTTTGATAAAATGATTTATTTTAGAGATAATTTGTAAAGTATGGGTCAGTCCATATCAAAGTTTCGAAATTTATTTTTTTTTTTGAAAAAATTTAGGTCCTGTGATATATCATAAAAAAGGTCTCTAATAGGCCTTAAAAATAAGCCATCACTCACCTTTCTACTTTTAATAGTTTACGAGCTATTTTTGTAAGTACTTGCAAGACCCAAATTTATCGGAATTTTTTGATTTTCAAAAATCAATAAAACAAAAACCACCTATCGAAAAAAATTCATATATGGGATTTTTGAGTTTTTTAGTGAGGTAAACAAATTTACCAAAAATTATCAAAATCCGAGATGGTGGGGGAAGAACCTTTGGTTGATTTGATATGGACTGACCCATACGTTACAAATTATCTCTAAAACAAAAATCATTTTATCAAAATTTTATAAGAGACAAATTTTTTTTAACAATAAATGATTACCTGAAAAAATACCGTTTGGAAGTCATTGGCGCACGTATACTAAAAAATAGGGGGAGTCAGTGAGTACTGGACCCCCCTATTTTGATTATTTGGCAATTGTTTTTTGTTTTGTTGGTCTCAAAAAATGTAACTATTTATGTTGAAGTAGTGTACCAAATTTAAACTTAATATCTTATCAATTAAGTACTCGAATTATTAAAAAAAATCAGTTTTAAATTTCAAACTTTGTCGCCCTGTATATCGGACATGAAGCTCTAAATTGAAAAATGGTATTATGAAAGTCTTATTGTTTTAACTCAAGGAATATATGGTTAACGGATTGACCTCCTTTTCCCGGACACCCTGTATATACTAAAGGTCCTAAATTTGTTAGTTAGACCAAGTTTTCAGTTAACCATTCATTTATAAATTATTATAAATGAATGAATGGTTAACTGTTATAAACTATAATAAACGATTTATTGTATTTCCATGAATACAATCAACACAGCTCATTTAGAATCAGAGTCTCTTTTAGAATCGCCGAGTTTAGATCTTAATTTGTTATATGCTTACTAGCGCCATTCTTGGTACTTATGTTAAGTTATGTACCAAGAAATAAGTTTTTCTTTTTCTATGCCTAAAGCTAATAATGTAAAAAACAACTATACAGGGTGTTTCATAATATATGCGCAGGACTTCAGGATGTGATAGCTCATCCAAAAAGATGAAAAAAGTCGCTATTAACTTACCCTCTAAAATGCACAATTTTCGAGATACAGGGTATTGAAATTTTAGAAAAAAAATCGTTTTTTAGATTATCTCTGGAACCGTTTATCGTACAAAAAACAGCTTTTGTAAGCATTTTCTACTGATAATAAGCTATGTTTTGTGCCAGAAAAAATTTTTTTTTACTCATAATTGGTGGAGATTTTGAAGGGGTAGCGGGTGTTTTTCTCCTCAACTTCAACGCCCCCGAAAAAAGTACGGTCTTGAGAGGCCCATTCGAACCGCCAATGTTTTCTACAGAAAAAAGGTACTCTTGGTCATAAGCTCTAAAGCTGACCGTTTTCGAGAAAAATCAACTTTTATGTTTAAAAACATGGTCAATTTTTTGAAAAAAAATTTTTATTTCAATTAAACAAAATTTATTTTAACGTTAGAAAAAGTAACAAAACCAAACGATAATTGCAAAATTAAAAAAAAAATAAAAAATGATTTTTTACTCAAATGCTGAAATGTGCGAAATGCGTTACCTTTACGGTTTGGAGAATTAAGCAAAGACAACTTTTAAATCATTTTTTATTTTGTCCTAACGTTAAAATAAATTTTGTTTAATTAGTAAAAAAAAATATATTTTTTTTAAATTGACCATGTTTTTAAACATAAAAGTTGATTTTTCTCGAAAACGGTCAACTTTAGAGCTTATGACCAGGAGTACCTTTTTTGTGTAGAAAACATTGGCGGTTCGAATGGGCCTCTCAAAACCGTAGTTTTTTCAGGGGCGTAGAAGTTGAGCAGAAAAACACCCGCTACCCCTTCAAAATCTCCACCAATTATGAGGAAAAAAAACTTTTTTCTAGCACAAAACATAGCTTATTTTGAGTAGAAAATGCTTACAAAAGCTGTTTTTTGTACGATAAACGGTTCCGGAGATATTCGAAAAAAACGAATTTTTTTTCTAAAATTTCAACACCCTGTATCTCGAAAATTGTGCATTTTAGAGCGTAACTTAATAGCGACTTTTTTCATCTTTTTGGATGAGCTATCACATCTTGAAGTCCTGCGCATATATTATGAAACACCCTGTATATCCAAAAAACCACACTACATGGGGTGTTATGTACTATTTTGTAAAAGTCCCAAATAAAAAGTCCCTATATACCTACAACATAAAAACTATCAGAAATACTTTTTATTAAAACTGTTGAAGCATTTTATACAAACAAGTTATTTTTAAAAAGCAGTTTATTAAATAAATACTACCTAAATATAAAAATTAAAGCTAAATATTAATAATGTATATTAAATCTGGGTTTAAACCAATTTTGCAGGTTGAAAATGTTGATAATAACCCCTAGTGAAATCAACCATAAGATCTGCTTGGCATTCAGGTAAATCACCTATTTGTACCCCTGGTGAGCCCCCAATTCTTGAAAAGGGGGGAACTACAGTCTCAGGGGCTAAAATTGTATTATCTTCAATCACACAGCAATCCTTAAGTGTGCATCTACGCCCCTAAAATATGAAATATTTAAATTGTTTAATAATATTTTTTGTTAATTATTACAATAACACAGTTTTTTCCAATGTAAACATAAGACCCAACTGAAGATGCATTTACTACAGACCTCTCTCCAACAAATACATGATCACCCATGTTCAATGGAAAAAATGCTACACTAAAATGAAAATATATATAATAATAATTTACTTTAGACAGAGCAAAGGGTTTATTTACCCTTTACTGAATTTTTTGTAAGGTGGTCTTAATACTGCTTCTTTGCTAATAATACAGTATCTTCCTGTTTTAACATTGGCTAAATCACCTCTTATTATTGCTTCCGATTGGACAATAACTTTGCCTTGCAGAATTATATTCTGGGAGCCACATAACACAGTCTCTCGACATACTTTGTTGCCAGATGCCTTTAAAATAATTATTATTAAACGTTCATGGAACTTTAGTTATCTCAAAAAAATTAACTTACCGTCTCTACGTATAGGTTTTTATTGTAATAAATATCACGCAACTCCATTTTTATGACACCAAAATCAAGATTTACAAAAACCCCAACCTAAAATTCATGGCTCCATGTTAAATATATTGACAGTTCTTGACTACTGCCATCTATGAGTAAAGACACAAAACTGAAATTACAGAAATATTTTTTAATACTAATAATAATACAAGTCTTATTTTAATAATTTATTTGTTCTTTTTAAAAAATTCGTGCATTTGAACAATTCTATAAGGAAAAACTTCTTCTTCCTTAGCTGGGGTAAATGCAAAAAATGTGTTTCGGATTCTTTCCGAATAAAATTCGTACAAGAACAGTGCTGGATAAAATTCTCTTGAATTATTTATAATGCTTTGTTTAGTTTTTCTGTAGAATTCATTTTGTAGTTTCGCAATCTAAATATGAATATTGATTATAATAATTATAATAATATCATTGAATTGACATACTAATGCTTTATAATATTGTGAATTTCTCCAAGTGGCTTCTTTTAGCTGTTGCTTTGATAATGGTACGCTTATTTCATTTAAATCGTAGCAATATTCTATGTGAAGATTTGTAAGTGATTTTGTGCGGCTCCAATAGTTCACTAAAATTAATTAAATTTAGTAGATAGGTAATTATTTTTTAAATATTTATGATATCATTTAAAAATAAAATAGTTAAGACCGTTACCGGCAATTGATTGATAATAATAATACCCGGACAACATTCGATCGTGATATTCATACGAACATCATGTCGTGATTTTCACAAATTTTATTCATACTGATATCATACGGAAGTCACCGAGTGATAAATAAAAATCATACGAACGTCACGTCGTGATTTTCACAAATTTTATTCATACGGACATCATCCGGATGTCACTGCGTGAGAAATGAAAATCATGTCGTGTTTTTTTATGCCATCGCTGTTTGCGATTGACCGATGGCACAAAAAATCATGTCGTGATTTTTTATGCCAACGGTGTTTGGATAATCATTTTTGCGCTACGTTTGTACACTAAGAGAAAAATTATGTTGAATGAACATTTTTGCGGTTAAATACATTTAATATTTTCTTGGATTTAAATTAACTATATATAGTTAACTAACTAATTAATTAATTTAAATCCAAGAAAATATTGAATGTTAAACTGTTGATTCAATTGTTAACATACTTTTTCTTTTAATGTACGAATGTGTCGCAAAAATGAATATCCAAACACCGATGGCATAAAAAATCATTTCGTGATTTTTTATGACCAAACACCGATGGCATAAAAAATCATGTCGTATTTTTGCGCCACATTCGTACATTGAGAGAAAAAGTATACTTACATATATATTGAATCAACAGTTTTTGAGTGGTTAAATACATTGAATATTTTTTTGGATTAAAATTATTAGTTAATTTACATCCAAGAAAATATTAAATGTATTTGACCGCAAAAACTGGTAATTCAATTGTTAACATACTTTTTCTTTCAATGTACGAATGTGGCGCAAAAATAAATATCCAAACATGTCGGTGCACCGATGGCATAAAAAATCATGTCGTGATTTTTTAGGCCATTGGTCAATCGCAAACACGCAAAACGCATAAAAAATCACGACATGATTTTCATTTCTCACGCAGTGACATCCGGATGATGTCCGTATGAATAAAATTTGTGAAAATCACGACGTGACGTTCGTATGATTTTCATTTATCACGCGGTGACTTCCGTATGATATCAGTATGAAATTTGTGAAAATCACGACATGATGTTCGTATGAATATCAAGAATGTTGTCCGGGTTCAATTAAAAAAGATATTCCAATGTTTAACAAAACATTCACGTTTTGTTAAACATTGGAATATCTTTTTTAATTGAACCCGGACAACATTCGTGATATTCAAACAACGTTTTATAAATTATAAGGGTGTAATGTGAATAACAAACTATGTTTTAAATTCGCAGTTCGCAGGGCGTATATACGCATGCGCAAATTTTGCAAATATCACACCGTGAGTTCTACATGATATCACTGTGATGAAGCATGTGTATGCACTCAGGATATCACAGCGTGAAAAAAAATCACGTTGTGATATCATCATTACTTCACCAGGAAATCCCGATTGTTGTCCGGGTAATAATAATAATTAATGATAATACTATATAGTATTATTCATATGAATTCGCATAAAAGGCGCAAATTCGTATACGAATATATATATATATATATATATATATATATATAGTATATATTATATACCTAAGTATAATATTTGGTTGCAAGGACATTCATGTTATTACTTAACTACCATCTCCTAGATATCCCTCTGTTTTTATTTTTACACTAGATAACAAATTTTAACTTTAGAAAGATAGAATTTTTTATGCATGTTTTTAACGTAATTTGGGTGTGCTGAACACGAATAACAAACGTATTTTTTTCTCAATTGGGCCATTCAGCTGTACTCGTCCAAAGGTATCAAATTTGTTTTAATCGGGGTTACGTTTGATAAACTTTCAACAAATACCAGGCAAATTTTTTAAGATTTTATTTTGCATGGGTGTATTTTTAGCTAATTTCATGAAATTTAAACTGTAACTATGCCATTTTTTATCCGATTAAAACGAAGTGGATAGCGTTAGAAAAGTAATTTAATTACTTTTTTGACGATATTGGGCATGCCTTTATCAAAGAGCAGGGCCGTCTTAAGCACCCGGGCAACTGGGGGACCGCCTGGGACGGCCATTTTTTGGGGCGGCCGTTTAAGGGAAAGCCAGTTTTTTACTTTTTCTACGGCCATTAAAAAAATCAAACAAAAATTGCCACTACATGATTTATTTCAAATAAATCAATGAGCTGTTCCGAGTACAATGAAAAAGTACTCGAGTACTGAATACAAGTACTCTTATATAAAAGTACTCGAGTACCAAGTACAAGTACAGTACCGTTGTAATCGAGTACCCATACGAGTACAAAGTACCGAGTACACTTTAGTTATGAAATATTGGGAAAAATGTTAGAGAAATAGGGCGAATATCATTGATGTATATTTTTACAGTTACTGCAAATAAATTATTATTATTATTATTATTATTATTATTATTATTATTAATAAGAAATAAATTTAGAATCACTAGTGCAAAACTAAACACTAGCCGGCCTATTGCCTTCATCAAATATTGATATTTCGCTTTATGTTAATTATCAAGGCCGGCTAGTATCATGTTTCACTTTGCCTTAGCTTTATTTTTTAATTATCTTTTTGAGGAATATTGTAACCTTATTTCTACCAAAATATAAACAAAATTACATTTCATACATAAGTAAAAACCTTTTGTTCAATGCTCTTTTTTGTATCTTTTTATTTATTGATTGAGGCTGTTTTAAGGCTGTCGTGTGAGTCAAGCTGGCTGATGCTGCCTCAGGCAGCATGTCCGTAATTTGACAAGTCTGAGCAGTATTGCCAAATTTTCAACACCCACGCACATATTTGCACATATATGTCCACGCCAACCTCACTGCATAAAAATGTACTCATTGCATACTTTGGATGTACTCGAGGACACGTAAAAGTACTCGAGTACACGGGAAAGTACTCGAGTACACGGGAATGTACTCGAGTACACGGGAAAGTACTCGAGTACATTTTTGCAATCTTAAATGTATCAGTACAAGTATAAATACATTCAAATTAAAGTACTCGGGACTGAGTACCGAGTACACTGAAAGTACTTGGAGTACAGTGTTTGAGTACTTAAGTACAATTGTACTCGAGTACCGCACAGCTGTAAATTATTTGCCTACAATTTTTGTATGTTTATTATGAGTTTTAATAGAAGTACGGCTTTCTTAGATCTTAAAAGAAAGCCGCACTCGCGTGTTTTTGGACCTTAAGACGAAAATGTTTACCAAGCAACAAGTATCGCGCAATCCTAATCAATATCGTGAAGAAAAAACTTTAATTTTTTTTTGTTTTTTATATTCTGCGTACGGACATGCATTATTTTTTTTTAACTAAACCACCATATGGATCGGATAGGTTGTTTATCCAGCTTTAATTTGATTTTTGTAGGCCTTGATACGACCATTTCTCGCTGTGCTATCGGGCTTTGAATGAAAATGGATCATTTTTCCTTTGATCATCGATATCTCAGAAACCAATAGTCGCACAAAAAGGTCGGTTTTAGAAACTTGAATGAATGCCCTACAAGGTTCGGCTAATGTTTTTTCAAAACAATTTTTTTCCATTCGTAACATGATTTTGAAAAATCTTGAAAAAATGGGGTTTGGAGGTTTTTGGGAAAATCACACGCGGAATGGAGAATATTAAAAAACGACTAATCGTCACCCTAATATAACAAGGTTGTATGTTAAAAAACCGAAAAATTTGAGTTTATGCTTCTACAAGGATTTATGTAATCCACCCTTGACATACAACTTGAAAATAACTCTGTATATATGTATACATAGAATATACATTCTATAGAATTATTTTTAAGTGGGATGTGAATCGTAGGCCACGTATAATCCTGTTGAAACATAGACTTAAAGTTTTCGTTTTTTTTTAACATACAACCTTGTTATATTAGGGTGACGTAATGTTAAGTATGCCTTTTATAGTATACCCAAAAAACACTAGTAATTGCTAGTGTTTTTTAGGTAACTTAAGTTTCAATTCGATCCATCCAGCCGTTTTTTTGTTTCATTAATGAAACAAAATATGTAGTAATTAGTCTGTCCATGCTTGTACTAGGTATATCTAAATATTTATTTTTGTGTTTTAATGTTTAAATTTTAAATGTAATTTATTTACATATATATTTTGTACTTTGTATTTTGACTTGTGTAAACTTTTTGTTCTTAACACGAATAAAGAATTGAAATTGAAATTGAAAAAAACGTGATTTCATTTTTTCAAAAATTCAATCGTATTCGATTCAATTTCACGTTATTTTTACTTTCAAACGCTCATAATCTCTAATAAAATGAAAAAAAATTATCTCCACTTTTTTTACATTTTTATACCAAACAGCATTTAAAGTTATGATTTTTTTTTACAAAATTGCAAAAAAAATTCAATTTAAATTCAAATTCAAATGATCCTTTTTCATTTAAAGCCCGATAGCTCAGCGAAAAATAGTCTACAAAAAAACAAAATAAAGCTGGATAAACAACCTATCCGATCCATATGGTGGTTTAGTTAAAAAAAATAATGCAGTCCGTAGACAGAAAATTAAAAACAAAACGGCCATTTTTAACAAAAATACAGTCATTTGAAAAATCGCTAAAAACTTGAAATAAATTTTTGATCCTTTAATTTTTTCCACTGGTGTATATTATAAACAAGTTATGTTGGGTTTTTTCCAAAATTTTTATTTTTTACTTTTGCTTAATTATTAAAAAAATTTTTTTAAGTTTGTTGTTAGCTATTTAGATATTAATAGCTAGTAATTACTTATTTATGTCCTATGTAGTTATATATTGCTACCTTGGTTTAACATGGTTCTATCAGCCATTTTCTCGAAAATGTTATTTTTGCATAAAAAGATTTCTATATTGTACATAGAACCTTTTTATTTAAAAATTTTATTTTTGAGATAATGGCAGA